GGAGACTTAGAGGTATGTAAAAAGAACAGCTCTGGGAAGTGAGCCCAAAGGTGGGAGTACCCAGTGTCCTGGCCCAGGAGTGGGCAGCAGCAGAGGCCTAGGGGAGAGCACAGGGAGCGGATGATGCTGCAGTGTGCAGGGACTGCAGAGCTAGGCACAGCATCTTAGTGGGCTGTAGCTGCTGACTTACCAAGCTAGAGCACATCGTGGAAGGAGCCTCTGTTAATCACACACTAACATTTTGGACCCAGTAAACTTCTGGTATCTACATCATCCCGTGACATGGAGTTTCTGAGTGAGGAGGAAATAAAATACATCTTGCCTGTTCTGCCCAAGTCACCAGCCCTCATCTTCTGTTCAGGTCCCTTAAATCATCCTCTTCTTCAGGCTGTCTCTGGTTTCCATTACTGGATAAACAGCCCTGCCAGCATGATGTAGTCTTGTATGATGAACAATCCTAGTTCTTCACACAGTCTGTAGTAAGAACCCTTGCACAACAAAAAGATGGGACACACTTGGTCTCTCTCTCCCCTGCAAGAATTCAGGAGGAGGCCTGGTCTGAGAGGTACCATGTGTCTCTTAGCAATACCTTGGGGTGGCTAAAGAAAGGGTATGAAGACAGTGCCAGGATCCTTCTGTGAAGTCTTGCATCCAGTAATCAATATAAAGAAGATTAAAGAGGAGGGATGGGAGGGTAGAATTGAGTATGGAGTTCTCTCACAACTGTAAAAAAAAAATACAAGACTAAAAGTCTACACTAGCAAAACAAAGTCTCTAACCTGTAATTTAAGTCTAGTCCATACAAATCCTTTTATTACAATAAATCTGATCAGAATTTAAGCCAGGCAGTGGTACCTGTGCAGTGCTTACACAGAGTGTAGAACTGCTCAGTTCACTCGGTGGTTAATTTTTCACTCTTACCAACCGTTCTGTGCAGCCTGGCTAGGGCCTCAAACCAGGGACATTACTGTGGAGAAAACAAATCAGATTTGGCTTTTGTTGTGTTTTCTTTTTTTAAAAAAAGAGGCTTTTCCTGTTTTACAGCAGAAATGGTATTTTATTGATTTTATTTGATCCTGAAAAATCAAAGCGTTACAAAGGTTATGTACAAGTATTTGTGGAAGTAAAAATCTGGGATCTGTTGCCAAGGTTTAACATCTGTGTTTGCTGTCTTAACCACTGATACAGTAAATATGCCTGTATAAAATCTTGTGCGTACAACTGTCTATTCTGTGTTGACTTGCCTTAATGTTACTTTACAGATGAATATAATAAAGGCTTAGTTAATTCAATGGTGTGGAGGTAACCTTTCATTCCAGCTCCACCAGCAGATCTCCTTCTCCAACAGTATCACCAGCTTTGCAGTGCACAGCTTTCACCTGGGGTACAGAAACAACAATCATTTTAAACCTTCTTCAGTAGCATGGTGAGATAAATGGTTTGGTTGACATGGCTCATACAGAGTATCACATCTGCATGCACAGGGTAAATGGCTGCTATGCAACAGGATAACCACCCAGGGACCAGAGATGCACCTCAAGAGGCTGAGTGCTCGACCACTCGTGTTCAGTGTCCAGCTGAGTTCTGAGTACCTCTGAGAATGGGGACTCCACCACCTCTCCAGTGCTTGACCAAATCGTGTCCAACCCTATCAGGGTACTTAGGCACCTCCCACTAGCTGGTTTTCTTATGGCAGAAGTGCTTGAAGACCTGAACATCAGATGGAGATGGCACTTTTAAATTTAAAAGTGCCTTTCCTCACTTGGTTGCACTGCTGTTCGTTTGCTACTAAAGTTTTAAACATTTTAGAGGACAAGCTGACCCTTCAACACTCATGCTTGGACATTGCAATGAAATATTCCACTATTTCCTGCATTGCAGTTTTTAAGTATAACTGCACTTTGGGACTGCAGCCATGAAGTGGCTTTCTCTCAATCCCCAGACAGCTGGGATAGATGTTTCAAAGCTGAATTGGGATCCTTTAACATAACCAAACTTGGCAAAGAGCTACCACTGTCAAATAAATGCAGCTACATCTGTAGATGAATTACATACTCATGTGCAGATTCCTGAGTTTTAAAACACAAACATCAATACTAATCCCTCATTTCCTCTATAAAAGGCTGCAACATGTTTGAATTGCATTTCAGCACATGGAGCTCCAGAAAATATTTGAAGCTGTATATTAGACTTGGCTTGCAATATTAATTCAGAGCTCACACTGACAAGCCCAAATCCTTGTTCAGCAGTTAGCTGAGTTTAATCATCCAAACGCTACCTTGGGCTCCTATAGGAAATCCCCAGCACACCCCAAGGACCACGATGGCCACACTACTGCCCACGTGTGTCGACAGTCCAAACCACGTGAGCTGTATCTGTGGCTCTGTGGCACTGACACACTCCCAGCACTGCCCAGGAAGACACTGAACACTACACGAGCAAAGACCACGCAATGTACAAACAAGGGCTTTGCTTCTAAACCAGTAGCTAGGCAGCCTACCCAATTCCTGAGCCTCGGCCTTTTAAGAGATGAAAGCCGTGTGAAAAAACATTCTACCTCTTGCTTTTCTTTCTCTACAAAGCCAAGGTTCAGCAAACATCATAGCTGACTAGTGTTTCAAACTCCCCAGTGGTTTCTGATATGCAGCAGGGCCAGCTCCCTGTTCTGACCCAGGCACAGCTGTCCCGTGGAAGACAGGAGACACGCCAGTTCCTCTCCATCTTTCCCTCATTTTTAACCACCTGCAGCTGGAGTAAACTCAAACTAGATAAAAACAAGCCACTTTTCTTCACAATTACAAACAGGAAGATGGGGTTTGATCCAGAAAAGGAATTCAGTTGGGAATGAAAATGGGAACGTCTTCCAGCTGAAGACAAATGAACTGAGTTTCAAAACACGGTTTCAGAGCATCAAAACATGGACTAACAGCCGGTGCCAAACATCCCATTCCTGTGGAGGGGCCAAGTTATTTTAGCACTCAGAGCCATGACTTTACACTGCAGAACAGGATGAATTCTGTTCAGCAGCTTCATTTCTACACAGCCCAAAACTTTTGTGCTTTTTGAAATTCTTAAAATCCCAAAGAATCAAATCACTTGCTTATTATTAAAGTGGGGGCACCAAGGGGACATGAGTGACCTGTGCACCATTCACATCCCACCTTGAAAGATTAGTAAGCCAAACTATGGGGTTTATGTGGCATCTGTACACTGTGAGTGGGGAATATTTATTCTTGGGAGAAGTACAAGCAGGATTTTAAGGAACAGGCCCACAGATTGCAGAACACCTTGGTGGGAAAGGGACGGTTAAAGTAAAAAAATAAAGGAGTGGTGGGAGAGGGAACAGCATTTTAATTACAAACACTCACTAGTTAATAACAGTGCATGCAAAGAGCAGCAATAAGGGGTTAAACAGAAGAAGCAAAGATGAAAAACTAAATGCTGGGAGATATTAATCAAGTGAGACAATAAATTATATAGAAATTAATGCATGAAATAAAATAATAAAATGGCAATGTTAGAGCAACAGCAGAAGGAACATACACCCTCTCTCTGTTTTTCTCTCTTGAGACCCAGTTTTGCACTGGATGCACTGGAAGAGGCAAGCCCTGGGACCCAGCCTCGGTGACAATTTTAGAGCTGTGCCAAATAAGCCTTTCTTGTAAACACACAAACAGTCCTTGGCATAGAGACCCATCCTGAGATCTCAGCAAACCTTGCCAGTGGCTAACCTCGTCCCTGCCCAGAGAGCTGAGCTCCCTGCTGCCTCCCTCTGGGATAAGGGTCTTCACTGGGGCTTGTTCTGCAGTTTTCAACAGCAAAATGGCACTATTTTAGGGAGAGCAGAGGGGCCTGATCCCAGGCAGAGAGGGGCTAGGGCAGGTTAGGGAATATACAACAGAAGAGAACATATAACCCAGATCCAGACTACGCTCTCCCTTTGGAAAGGGTGGATCAGGGGCCCATGTCTAGGTGATGGTTTCAGGCTGTGAATTATAATCTGGCACAGGGATGCTCTGAGGCCCCCAACTTGGGAGCTGACAGTCCCCAAACCAGCTGGGGTTTAAGGCATGTCCTTGTCATATAAGCTTAATCAGTTCCCCACCCAGAGTGCTGGTTTTGGCACATCCTACACTGCAGCAGAGTCCCAGCTCAGAGCCTGCAACACTGATCCCTCAGAAGAGAGATAGCAGAATGCACAGCCTTGCAAACCTTAACAAATGTTCAGATCTAGGCCTGATATTTAACAGTCACAATAATAAAAAATTGCTTCTTTCTTTCTCCTGCAAAAGCACTTTCTGTGTCTTGTTCTGAGGGGGGTTTTTAATGTCAAATTGTTTGCCATTAAATAATTAACTGGCAAAGAGATCTCTCTTCTTCAGTTGCTCTCTGGAAAGGTGAAATTTGGAGAAACGGTCTGCAACACCTTTCGAATCAGCTTGGCATTGTAACATCACAGAAAACAAATCATTTAGGAGAAACAGAGTTATATGAATTTCTGAAGCCAGTAAAACTACTTCCTGCTGTGCTATCTAAGGCTGGGAACTACTTAACAGCATTCACAGCAGATGCAAATGTTACAAAATTAAAGACACCTCACTTTGAAAGACTTACAACAATCAGGCTTAATTCCTTAACAACCAGAATTCTCCTTTTTTCCTTTTTAAATTCTATCCTGTTTGACAAGTTGCATATGGTTTTAAGTGACCCAAGGTAGCTTACCTTGCCTGTTTTAGCAGCCATCATACTGTTCTGCATTTTCATTGCTTCAATTACACAAATCTCTTGACCCTCCGAAACCTGGTAAAATTCAAGCAGTACAAAATGAGGAGAGAGAATTTGAAATGTTCTAAGTGTGATGATTCTTCTGGAAAAGAAAAGGATTATTTCATTAAACACTGTAAACAGTTTCATGGCACACATCAAGTCAGCCAGTTACACAGTCACAACACAAATGACAAACACAAAACTGACAGCAAAATAGGGACAAAGGAATCATGTACTTAAAACTGTCACCCCAGGCAAACCTGAAAGGCTCTTCTCCCATCCCATCCATTCAGCTCCAACTTCTATAGTTCACACTTCACATCCACCACAGTGCGGCATCAATTAAATCCAGAGCAAAATTTAATTTGTGCTTTTTTGGCTGGGGAACTTTTGCTTTGCTTCCCTGGCACACAGCCCATGGATAGTAATACGGATTCGGAAGCCAAAAGTTTCTTGGCACATGTCTGGGGGAGCTTGGGCTGGAAGCTCCAGCAATACCCAGTGGGCTAATGCTGAGAGAAAGTCACACCTCTGCTCGTGGCAGCATCTGGACGGCGGCTGATGACTTTGGACTGACAGAACAGAGCACATCAGTGAGGAACCACCAGATCTCATCCACAGGGGAGGTGTCACGGAGGCAAAACCATCATTTTCACCACAGCTGAGAGCTCTTTAAAGGAAACCTTCAAGTTTCCTCTTTCTGCTTGTTTGCACTCTGCTAACAGGCACGAGCAAGCTCGAGGTCATGAGTGACCCACTGGGCTGCTCTGCTGGGCTCCCTGTGCCTCCCAGTCAGATCCTCCCTCCAGTGTCTTGGACCACACTGCACAGAGGAAACAGCTGCTCAAGGCTTTCAGTGGTTGAGGCGCTGCCTATATATGAGGGGAAACCCAGTGGATTCAGGACTTACCCCTCATGTAGCCCAGCAATCAGCTACTCATCCCAGGAAGGTGATGCATGCCAGAGAGGGAAGGGTGCTGGGCCCTACATGCAGGACCTATGACTCGTGCAGGTACATCCCTCTGGGACACCTGGCTCTCAGTGCCCACTGCAAGTCTTTTCACAGTGCTCTTTTGCAGATGCAGTCTGCTATTCCCTCATTGTCCCAGCAAGTTTGGGATGCTTTCAGTCTGATGCTCAAGTTTCATTAAATCTGAGTTTCATAAGTGAGCTTCATTAAATCAAGTTTCATAATCTGAGACCTGCAGAGATCTGGTTTGTGCATTGTTATATGTGCTAGTGCCAACAAAATGTGTTGTTTACATATACACATAGATATATTTCTCTAAACACGTGTAAAATGAGTAATACTTTTTTAAGGACAAGTGTGTACCACTTAGGAGGAACATACTAACAGACAGATGTGAAGTCAGAGGTCAAATGCACATTGTATGAAGAACATTCCAAAAGTTTAAATAAAGCATTTTTTTCACTGAAGTGTGCACTAACAGTGATGGAAAAGCAGTGATGGCTGCCTATGGATTTGAGCAAGGCAGAAGAAAAGGCATTGCATTAAAAGATGATTCCACACCCTTTCTCCAGCAGACTGCCAACAGCAGTATGACAGGTTTTGGAGGGTAAATACGGAAAGCATTTGCTATGGGAACATGGTGCACTAACTGAATGCAGAGAGTAACCAACACCCAACACTTCACCTGCAGAAATTCCATCCTGAGCTTCAGGTAAGCATTTAAGTCATTAGCAGTGTCAAATTCGGTGAATAGTATCAAAGACTTCTTCTTTGTCCCCAGTTATTTCCCCTCTATTCCCTTTCCCTGTCTTTTGTCTCCTTCCTTCCACATCTGCTGCTCTGCCCATAGCCTTGTCCCAGCAACTCACTGTTTCCTTCCTTGTTTCTTCCCATCTCACTGCTTGGCTTTTCTTCCATCTGCCCTGAACCTTCCAAACATTTCTGAGGTTAAGAGGAAGCTGTGAATATCTACTTCTGATTTTAAAAGACAAAAAAAGGCAAGAATGTTTGTTAGAGGTTTCTGGTTTTGTTTTTTTAAATAATGCTGTTATTAAAATAAGCATTTCAGAAACAACTTTGCCACCCTCTGGTTAAACTCAGCTACCCAAGAGCCAAGAACATGAGCCTCTGAAGGTTGCTGAAGATTGAGATGCTAAGGAGGACAGATCTGAATTCAGTGGCCTAATTTTAAAGGCACAAGAAACTTTCCTTGAGCCCTGGTGCAATTTAACTGTAACAAGGCTTCATCAGGTGGATGGTGTGAGCAATTACCTAAACAGAGTTCTGGAAACACATCTATTGGAATAGTACAGAATTGTCACTGTAGATCTTAAGTATGGTGCTAAAATGGCAGGAAGTATTAGTGATTGTGGAATGAAAATATCCCTTAATCTGACTTTCTTCTCAGTTTCCCCCTTTTCCCAAAAATAAAGTTTTTGTGTTTTATACCTGCTGGGTTGATGACAAAGGAAGCAGCGTCTGGGAAGGAAATAACCCACTCAACCCACAAAATACACAGTCAAAGTATCCAGTTAACATCTAGTCTTACTAATTTGGAAGGAAGGAGACACTTTCAGCAGGTACCACGTGTGAAAATGCTGTGTCAGTACCTCTGATGATGTGCAATTTGTTGAAAATTACCTTGGCACAAGTGTCACTTAAGCACAGAAGTTTAATTACTGTTCTTATGTTAAACCTTTACAGCTCTGCTCATTGTGTTGCAAAGCGACAAATCCTAAAATTAGGCACTTGTATCTCTCTTTTCTCTTTTTCAGCCTTTTGGGCATTGTCCAATTTCTTTCATTCCATAATTGCACATATCCTTTTGCCTGTTATTTAGCCTGCAAATGAAAACCACAGCGATGTGTACGAGTTCTTGCTAACTTATTTAAGGATTTATCCAGACCATTTTTAATGCTGCATTTTCATTGTACCATTTGTTTCTTTCAGTGGATGGTAAACCAACGTAAACCACCATCCTTACATTTCAATTTAGAGAGGTCTCAGTGATGACCCAAATCTGTCAAAACAGGCAACTAGAATCAAACAAAAAATCCGGTTGATTGGAACCAAGTAAAACAAAAGGGCTCCTTTTCTTACAAGAAATTAATCTCAGGTATCTTTTTCACAGAGTTACGCTACAGACAACTCGACCTTTACGTTGCTTGGGATATCAAAATAAATGAGTGATTAACCATTAGACCTGCAGTCTGTGTTTTAGCAGTTTATTTCTGCATGGTGCAGTTCAAAGTAGCTGTTCAGTTTTGTTCTCCACAGAGTGAAAAGGGAAAAAAAGTAGCAGAAGAAAAAAATCATTGAAGAGGAGGGTACTTAAATCTTGATGCTGCTAACAACTGTGATGTGAATTTGGGAACAGTCAATGGCACTGCTTGAATAACTCAGGGACTGCAGGGTGGTTGTTCCTCTGGCCCAAAGGTTACACACAGGACAGGGAACTGTCTCCGGTCATTTCCCAACCAAGTGACTAACGCCACGGGGTGGAAGCAGAATCTGAGGAGCAGCAACCCCGACCTGTTCTCACTGCACCTACATGAGGACCCCAAAGACTATGTGCACTTACAGATAGGGCTCTTTAAAGCTCAGCAACACAAAAAGACAGCGCACACCCGAGGGCATTGCTGCCACGGGATCTCTGTGAATATGGTACACTTTCTGCAGACTTTTGTGCGTCATCGGACGAAGACTTAATGATTGTGACAGGACGTCTCCCATGTTAGGCTTACAAAATGGTCACAAGCCCCACAAGTCTTTCTGATAAACCCAATGGGCACTGATGTATTTCCATGCTCTCTGTCTAATTGGTGTAAAGTTTGCAGATCTGAATCCCCGATCTTTTATCCAGCTTGCTGCGTCCTCTCCTTTGACACGGGGTCAGGGTTCACATTCGCATCCGATTATCGAAGTGGCACTCATTAAGCTGCAGCCTGCCTCGCACCAAAAGGAGCTCGCTGGAAGGGGAACTCGGCCCATTTACTCAGCAGATTTCAGCATTTTAAGGAGGCCTGAATGTCACACAGTATTGCTACGTTTTGAGGAGTTTCAGACATCTCCAGCTGATGATTAATTGTGAGTGATGGGAAATAAAATCCAGTAAAGCCAGCTGCTTGCCATGGTCGGCAAAATTACTATAATGGATATAGGCTGCCAATTTTCCAGTTTTACTGGCAAGTCTTCCAAGTGTAATTAAGGGAAGTTATAAATGATATGGAAATCTATCAAGTCCCATTTATTTTCAGAGGACTATTTCCCCTGAGACTTTTATCTTCAAGCTTATAGTTTGCTTTGTTGTGCTAATGATTTAAACCACTTCTTATTTCTGATTAAAGCCCCCAATATCCTTCACAAGAAGTTAGATCCACTTTATTCAGAAGGATTTAAAGAAACAGAAACCTTTTTAAAGTTGCGTTTGTTAGCCGTGCTGAGCTCCCACTTCCTCTGTGGAGGCAGAACAGAGCATCCTCCATCTTAGGCACCTCACTACCATCTGGATTTCTGTTTCTGACAAATTCTGGGGAGTGGGAAAGATTTGGTGGGGAAGGAGGGAAGGAAAAGAGGGAACAAAAACAATCAAAATAAAAAAAAAACCACCATAAACAAAACCCCAACTTGCCTCCAAACCCTAAATCGTCCAAAAACAAAGACCATGGGTGCTGCTTTAGACACTAGGCATTTAGCAAGTGTGGTGTTGCTCACTAATGTTGTTTGATTTGGAATAAAAGCATGAAAATGATGTGCAAAGGCCTAAAATTGGAGACGTAAAGGATGACTGCACAGTATTCCATTTCTCAATTTCATCCTTCAGAGCCACAAAATGGGGGTGATACAGTTACTGGATGAGATTTACAGTAACAGCTGTGGTCTTCCCACACAAGGGAGGACCTTCTAATGGGCTAAGGTCTGTTTTGAACAGACGGGGAGTAGCAAAACAAGGTTCCCTATTAAGGGTGTGCAGTAATATTCCTGATAAAGAAAATGAGTAGTGGTAGTCAGATTGCTTTAAAAGACCTAAATCTCCTTTCGCTGTTTAAAAAAAATAAAAAAA